CAGACACATTCATGTAGAAGTTCTTTCGGACGGAAGTCAATAAAAGAAACCTAACACTTCGTTTCCAAAACATACCTAAAATTCCACAACTGTTGTAGCTCAAAGTTTTTCAATGGGGAGTGTTGTGTTTTGATTGATACACGGTCTTTCTTTCTTTCTTTCACAAAGGCATCGTCAATGACAAATCGTCATATTGTCCTCCAAGACTCGCTCCCAATGTAACCGTAGAAATGGAGGGATGGTGATTTCTTGATAGCAATCATTGTACTACCAAAGACAATAACGCAAGAACTTGCAAGCCAGGTTTGAATCAATGTTGTCCACACCTGTATATTAGTATTCATCGAACTGATATTGTTGTTCAGTTCTTGGTTGGTGTTCAGCAGTATGCATAGCCTCTGATTCTCATAAACAATATACAGTATGCCATAGAAATAAGATTGCCATAGAAATAAGATTGCCATAGAAATAAGATTGCCTCGGATTGATTTAAAAAAATGGTTGAGAAAGGATATTGGTTCCCAAACCCTGTCCTTTGAATGAATGATGGTGCATTGAAGGCGCAGTTGTCCGCGTCATCAACCAACGGGCATGATGGTCCATATATAAGGAATAAGTGATGGCAACATATTTTTAATCATCTTGGAATGATTGCTATTAAAATCGATTATCGAGGAGCGTCATATCTGTTGCTAGAGGTCCTATTCTGGACTAAACATTAGTGACGATGCCAAGATAGAAAACTACAATATACTGTACATAATATAAGAGAACCAAGAAGCAGTCCTTGCCGGAGGAGAAATTGGTCTTGGTTGGTTTGGGCTCGCCGGATGGTTTTCGTTTCCTTCTAGCAATGGAATTTTGTTTTGGAATCTTGAGCACCGATCTGACTAAGAAAGTGCTGAATTCGTGCATAGGCACCATCCATTGATGTCCTCTAGCTATGCAGCTGAGTTACACATTGGATAGGTCTTTCTTGTCTACCGCTTGTAGATTTTCATGATGAGTGAATAACCGCAGTACTATGAATATACCGGTATACCATATACCTGATATTATATCGGTACCGACCTACAAAATTAAAATCTCAAACTTCTTGCAAGCTCGATTCCATATTCCTTCAAATGGTCACTTTCGCCGGCCGGGTACAGTAGTGTACCGGTATTGCGTTCCTTGTGAAATCTAACACTTAACAAAGGTGACTCGGTAAGTGATCCAACTTGATCCAAAATTGCTGATTTTGCTCACTTCGTAAAAAATAAATATCGGGTGAGTAATCAGGATGAAGAACTTTAAAGCCCCCGTCTGGTATCATTAAGTAGGAGAGAACTGTTGAAAGTGTCACTATAAGTTCAAAGTATGGCATGCAAGGGCGGAGTCGAACAACGGCAACTCGAAAAACATCCTTGGTCACTTCAGTCACACCTACCCAAGACGCCATTCCGATCACAAAGCCTCCAAAAACATTGCACGCAATAACGAATTGTTCAGGAAGACACACAAAACAAGCAACAGCATGATTCTTCAAAGACCTCTCTCTCCAACCATTGAGAAATCATCTGCTTTCAGCAACAACAACAACAAGAACAACAACAACAACAACAAGGTCACCATGCTATCTCACAATGTCGTCATGCTACAAGTTATTGTTCCTGCTCGTGATGTTGTTCGTTGCACCAAACAACAACAACAACAACAACAACAACAACAACAACAAGTCCTCCCTACAGCAACCATGATCCGTCGTGTTCACTTTTCAGCTGACGAGAACGATTCTCAGTCGGCACCTCACAAGGAAGAACTCACATCGGAAATGGTTCAAGACATGTGGTACACTCCCACCGAAATGAACGGTTTTAAGGAAGATGCGGCCAAATCCATCATCATTCGACAACGACGAAACCGCCGCCCACAAGAACTCAGCGACGACGACGACGAGGACGCTCTTGGGTTGGAACGCTACTACGAACCCAAGCGGGATGAATTCCGTCGAGCGGCCATCTTTTACACACTCCAAGCCCAAACCAAGTCTAGAGGAGACCCTAACTTTATTCGTTTGATTGCTCGGAAATGTTCTGACTTTGCCCGGGCCGCAGCGGTCCATCAAGGCAGGAAGGATTTTGATGCCGCATACAAGAACAAGAACAACAACAACAACAAGAACAACAACACCAACACCAGCAACAATGACTCTTCTCTTGACACCCAAGGGAAGAGACAACGCAATGGTTTCGTATGCTGCACAACAGACGCAGAGGAGCCAAGTGCCAAGAAGCAACGAACACTTTGCGTCGCATAAAACAGCTAATAATACAATGCCAGAATATCAATTTTGACAAAAAGTTTTTACATATATAACATGCAAGTTATCACAGTAATACACTACTGTGTTTCATCAACAGTGCATCAACAATCTAGTTTCGAATTACTACTATCACGGTGATCGCTTAGTTGTACCATCTCGTACTACACGGAACTGAACGACGGACTAAGGAACACTTTGAAAGATCTTTATTTTCGTTGTTTGTGCCCACGATCAGATGTATACTTTATACAGTCAGTCGCAATGGAGATCATGACGCTTCTGTATATTCATATTGCTGACATTCGATCACAGTTCCACTCACTGATCAGATTTGAAAAAATACCATCCCGATGACTATACTATTGCACCTTGCACCCCACCCCAAGTTCATAGTATGGTGGTCTCGTCCCCCAAGTTCATATTGCGCCCTACCGGCAGCAGGAATGAATATCGGGGAATCTTTCTGCAGTCGTGTCGTTCGAAAATACAGCCTGAAACAACCTGAAGTGATTCGAATTCGATCGAAAGCAAAATGATTAGGAATTCGACCGAAATGGTTGTGGAAATATATATAATATCTCCGCAAATATACCGGTATATTTTGTATCAGTTCCCGATCGTTCCAAATGTGTAATTTTGAAAAGTGTCGCGTGAGGTCGAGACGTCCAATGAAACACAATTTCAAGAAAAGCAATCAAAACAAAAGAATAAACATCTATTGGATTGATCAGAACAAACAACTCAACGGAAATCAAAATCAACATGCTAAACACCAGACCACAATCACCAACCATGGCAACCAATACAGAAAAGGAACATCACAGCGATACACAAGACGTTCTTCTTGATTCTCAAGAAGAAGAAACAACAAGCCGACGGGTTCGATTTTCGGTCGATGAAAACGATACCCAGAGCGCCCCCAACCAAGAACTCACAGCGGAAATGATTAGCGAGCTCTGGTACACGCACGAAGAAGTTACAGGATTCAAGCAGGAAATTCGAACCCTCGTCATTCGACGAATGCAAAAAGGATCGTTGACCGAAGACGAAATGGCGGGATTGGAAAAATATCACCCTCAACGCTCGGAATACAAAAAGTCGGCCAAACATCACATTCTACATGCCCAAACAAAGAGACGAGGCCCTGAATTTCTTCGTTCTATATCACGGCGATGCACTGCCTGGGCCAGAGCGATCGCTACGGAACAAGGATTTCATGATTACTGCGCCGTGTACGATCCATGGGATGGCCTCAATTTCGAGTCTGTCATTGTTGCTGCTGACACTAATGACTCTTCAGTGACTATCACGGAGAAACGAATGCGCAACGAGGAGGTGGAAGCATCACAACGTTCTTCTTCTTCTTCTTCTGCTGCTGCCTCCAAGAGACAAAGGTTGTCGCCGCGATAGGAGGAGCAGGATTATCCTTTTTGTTGTTTTTGGAGACGATGGCTGATCGATCATGCAAGGGCGAGATGCACGACTCCTCACATATATAGTTCATACCGTGCTAAATACCCCACAATTTTTGGATCAACATACCACTATAATCATTATTATTCGTAGTTGGTCCATTGAGATGGTTATTGCTGGTTGGGTGCGAGCGAGCTTCAATTTAATAATGGATGCGGTACAATAAAATGCAGCAGTCTCGCGGGAGCTATCGAAGATAGCCAACTGGCGCCTTCTTTTCGGGTTCTTCTGCTTGGTGTTTTCTTGGAGTGACTCTGGTGGGTTGTGGTGCGAAGCTGGTCCTTTTGAGTTGCGCGCGAAGCGTGCGACTCAAAGGACCAGTCTCAGATTTCCCGCAAGGCGTGAAATCTGAGACTTGCTTGTCTGCCAGGCCTTGACACGAAACAATCGTGTCAAGGCCCAACAGGGTGTGGTGGGATGGGAAAGAAAGAAATAACTCTATCTTTCTGTCAGTATACTTGCACACAAGTTCGATATGTGTAGATCGGACTTAGGTTGCTGGTGCAATACTGAGATGACGGTCGCCCTACCGTCGTTCATGGAGTCACTATTGAGTCCATTGGTTCGACCGCTTTCTTCCGTCTACGTTAGAGGAATAAGTGGGGGCGATCGAAGACCAGACTTTTTGGGGGACATCGCATCTTTGATGAATGAATGAAGAATTGAAGAATTATTTTAGGAGACATATTGCTTCAGTATCTGCGAGTGATTGATTCGGCGGTGTGGCAGTTACTTGGAGGAGTACGGTAATAATAAATAATGCGTGTCCAACCTAACGATGGCAGCAAATAATCAAGGGTTGTTGGGCAGCCAGCATGATAGTAGGTGCAAATGGATTCCAAATGGTGTTGAACTGGAGAAATGTAGTATTGCATCGGTAGCACCTGCAACGTAACAGAGACTATACGGCTTATCACAGGCCGCCGATTCGGTCCCATTGTGTCTATTTGCATTCCCAACGCTAAAAGGACATTTTATGCATTGTAACCATATTGAATACTCTTTGTGCAGCATATTAGGCCGAATGACTTTAGTTTTGAACGTCAGTTTCGCCAAGTATTTAGTAAGAAAAGGACATTTTTTAATCAGAGTCATTGAAGTTGTACGTGACATTCATCCATGATGGCCACAAAACTGCACCAAACCGAAACTTGAGAGCCACTTGCAGCATTCACAACAACCAAAATAACAAGCACTCACACGCATTAACATCTTGCAAACCATGAGTACTCGTCTTTTTACCTATATTCTATTAGCAACAGCCTCATCGGCCAATGCTCGGCTCGGAGCCAGAAGTCTTCAGGATGCCTTCCCCGGAGTCCCCGAAGGGTGTGATGGAGATATCGCATGCATTCTTGATCATCTCGCCCTTCGTTCACAACCAGATACATCAAATCCAACGTCTGGTCCTACATCGGCCCCCACCAAAGAACCCATCGAAGACTTGAGAGTTCCTGACTTTGATGAAACTTCACTTGTGCAAGACGCTGGACTACCAGCTCTCTGGGAAGATGCCTTCGAGGACGCAGGATTGCCAAGTCTCCCAGAGCTCGGTGAAGACGTGGAAGCCAAAGCCATTCCAACACTTCCCGAGATCTCCGAAGCTGCTGGAGCTCCAGACATCTCAGAGTTTCCCGATACCCCAGACGAAACTGAGCTTCCCGAAATCTCCGAAGCTGCTGGAGCTTTAGACATATCCGATCGTTCAGATATACTAGAAGAAACTGAGCTTCCCGAAATCTCCGAAGCCGCTGGAGCTCCAGATAGCATCCCAGAGTTTCCAGATGTCGAAGAGCTTCACGATAACCCAGAAGAAACTGAGCTTCCCGAAATCTCCGAAGCTACCGGGCTCCCTAACATCTCAGATTCTCCCGATGTCCCGGGACTTTTCGATATCCCAGATGTGCCACAGCTTCCTGATGACACCGAATCTACGATAATTTCCGAAGCTGCTGC